AAAATTTTAACAATATATAATATTTAATAATTTAAAAATAAATATTAATAAATTATACATTAATATTGATAAGTAAAAATCTAAACAAAAATTATTCATAGATAAAAAAATCAAATGAGAGATGAAAAAAAAATATAAGATAGAAAAAATATGAAAAGAGAGAAGATGAGAAACAAAAAGAGAATGAACAAGAAAAAATAAAAAGAGAAAAACTAAAAAGATAATGAAATAAAAAGAAGAGAAATAAACAAAATAAATTATGCAAAATTTCAATGATTTTAATAAATTTGCTAATTGAATGAATTATATATAAATTTTATTAAAAAAAAATCTTATAAAATTTATTAATTAAAATAATTTATTGAAAATTTTATATTATTAAATTTCAATAGATTGTTTTAAAGTAAAAAAAGTAATATCACCGAATTTTAATGTATTCCTAAAAAAATATTGATTATCTTAATTAAATGTTAACATATTTCAATATAATTTTAACAAAATATTAATTATTTTAATTAAATATCACAATTTTTATAATAAAAAATTCTTAAAATAATTTTAAATCTCAATCTAATTAGCCCTCTAAATGTCTTAATCTTGAAGTTAAGTTCTTATGCTATCACTGCAACTCGCAGATCATAACAAATAAAAGACCAATCAAACCGATAAATACTCGTTCAATTTCAATCCGATTTCATTGACAAAATTTTGTTCTGACTCATATTTTTATTATTTGTAATTCCTAAAGACATGTGTGGGGTTTGGGTCCATTGTTATAAACTTGGGATATGTGTATAGTTAAACTATAAAGGCATCACCAACAAAACTATTTTTTTGGATTTCCGCTTCAAATAAAAATTACATACATTTCAATACATAAAGTAGATGTAAATAAATTGATGGATTCAAGTTATTTTGAGTCTAAAGAGTTTATAGACACACTACATGGTGTGAAAGTACTAGCAAAAACATTTATAGTAAAACTAGACCATTTTTTTATTAACGAGTTTGGTACAATTTTTTTTAATTCTCTTTGAAAATAAAGATCACTGAAATGAATTTTATTCCTTTTAATAATTTTTTTTCTATATTCACGATCAAAGAATCGAATCTTATCACCATCGGTATGCTTAAAGAACATTGTTACTGGTGTGTGGGGTTAGGGACCTCATTTTGTTACTGGTGTGTGGATGGTGATGCTTCTTAAGTGCGTTGAGACTTGAGAGTTGTGTTGTATTCTCTATTCTGTTTTAAATGATTAAACTGAGGGTGTTAAAGAATTATAATAATGCTTTTTATGCACAAATATTTTTATTTAATAAAAATTAAAGAATTATATGTTAAAAAAATATTATTCACTTAAAATTAAGTACATGTTTGAAAACACATCTAAAACGTGAATTAAATGATAAAATCATGTTCAAATGGTTAAAATTAGCAAAAATTACTTATTATTCCTTCTCACAACCCTGAATTAAATTAGATTTATCGTGAATCAAATATACCGCTAACGAAACATGTTTGTTGTAAAAAATCTCATTAAGTGTAATTTGTTATTAAATTATTAATGAGTAAGGCAAATTTTATTTGAGAAATATTTATCTTTATTATTTGTTTTAATTGTAAATTATTACAAAAGTATCATTTTACTTTACTTTTTATTTTCACATTTTGTGTATAAATTTCTGAAATCAAGAAATAAAGTAAATAAAGTGACATTTTATAATTATTTAAAAAAAAACAAAAACTTCTCAAACTGATATATTTTTCCACAGAACGCTTTTTTCAAACGTGATTTTCCTTTTTCCCACCAGATGTTGAAGTGAGCGAATTCGCATGACTCACTAAATATAAAATCGAGGTTTGTTTTACCGTTTTGGACCAATTGGAAGCAGATAGTTGCTGATTTGAGTGAAGATCAACCGGTAATTTACATTCATGAATATTATTTTCTTGCTTCTGTGACCGCATCTTAAATGGCGTTTATGTTTTTGGGTATTTAAAATAGGATTGCATGGCGAGTACAATCTGTTCGAAGTATTTCCTGAACCAAATAATTTTGTTCCCTTTGTCTTTAATTCATTTCAATTACAATAACTCATTGATATAAACTAGTGATCATGCTTTAATTGTATTTCTTGTTGTTTCTCTGACTTCAACATGTTCAACTGCCTCTAATGTTCATGTCAGTCTTTTTTTTTTTTTTTTGTGTGGAGAAAGAGCTACTCCACTAGTGGCTAGTTTCAATTTCGAAGTCATTGGTTTCTTAGCATTTGTCCATCTTTGAGGGATGCGGTGTATGCTTCTGATTATGATCTGGTTTGAATTCCCAGCCGTGTATCTGGGTATGAATATATGTGGATTTTATATGCATTCATTGTTCATGAATATTGAATAATATTCACTTTTTTTACTCTTCGAAGGTAGGCACAACTGCCCTAAGGTTACCATTAGATGAAGCTAGTGTTGAAAGTGTGAATAGTTGAGGATCGAGTTTTACACTGTGTTGTCACTTGTGATGAGCAGACGAGGACGACAAGCTTGTCACTTCCTTGCAAATCTGCTCAAATTTGGGCGAAAATATTTTGCTGTGGGCTGCTATTTGGTAACGGTGGTAATTTGACATCTGGAGGCTTATGCACTCTTTAATTCGCCACATTCTCTATCTTTTGAATTTTCTTGTTCTTACCTTTTTTCCTTTTATGAATTTTCAGCTGGATTTTGGTCTTTTATGTTTTCTGCAGCTTTAGTCAGAGGAACAAGGTGTGGATTTTCCTCCACAAGCAATAGGTTCATATTTCTCACTTAGAGCATTTCTTGAACGTGATTAATTATCTTTTTTGCTGTTTGTGCCAGTTCATTTATTCACTAATTATTGCCATTTTTTCGTTGGTTTTATCTTGCATTGTGAGTGGAAAGGGGAAAAGAACAACATTTGCTTCTTATGTTAGCTTGCAATTATTTGGGCTTGAAATATTTAGGGCTGCTCCTGAATCAGCACATATCTTCTCAACTTCTTAATCCAAAATTTAAAGATAGATATGTAAAGTAGATCATAAGACAAAATGCATACTTATCCTAATCCTCACAGTTTCACACATTGCCTTTAGCTGTTCATAACACTTGGCAGGGCTATAGTCTTTCTAAATAGTATTAGAAGATGAGTTTGCGTCTTATCAAACAGTAAAAGAAGTTTGCATCTCCATTATTCTCAATGAAGATTAGGAAGTCTCCTTCCTAGACGTCAACAACAAAATAGCAAAACAGTCCTTTTCTACCATGCAATTTATTTTGATTAACTTATTTTCATTTTTTGGAGATTGTTGGGAACAATATTTGTCATAGCTCCTGCACTTTTTAGTGCTCGACTCTTGAATACAAAGTTACATTCTCACTGTGCAGAGACGGCTTATTCTGGTTATGCTGTCTGGTTGAACATGTTCCGACCATTGCATCATCCCCTACAGCGACTTCATATTTCCGGTCTTTTACTGCCCACAAGTGCATACATCAAAGAACTTACAGAACACCAGCGCAACTTTCAGAAGTTCCCTCCTTATCTTCTCCATCAGGTTTTCTTTTAATGCAGAAATCAAACATCTTTGAAAGCTGGCTCCATTCCAGATACATAAGTAATGAATCAGTTCAGCTGAAGGCTGAGAATGGTGTCATACGGTTCTCTCTGGATGAACCTGGTGATATTAACTCAGCAAAGAAGAGCCCCAAGAACAAAAAAATTAAGATGTCTAGAAAGGCTAAATTGAATGAGCTCAGGTTCTATCGTTTGAAGGCCAAGAAAAAGATGAATTCCCCAAATCCAGAAGTTAGAATTAGATATAAGCTTGAAAAGGTTGGATTTCATTGCAACCGTAATTTTTAGTTTAAAGCCTTGTTTCCAGTAGCTGATGTACCTTGCTTCTTCATTATTGTTGATAACTTACTTTTATGCTTTTATCATCTATGTTTTTGGACATGCTTCAGTTTTCTAATAATGGTTTGGGCATTGTTCTGGTATTTACTAAATTAATGTGCTTCCCCTTTTCTTTGCTGTATGGGCATTGAAATAACCAGAATGTTAGTATGTTACTACATATGGATTTGAATTTGAAATTTGAAATGCCTCTGTGAAGTTGTATTTTGTATTTGGGAAGTTTCAGTGGTTATATTTTTCATCAAGACATTACTACTTTGAATAAAAAAAGTCAGTTACCGAGCTTGTTAGTTTAAAATCATGGTATATATCAGCTTGGATCATAGATATCTTTCTGTTTTAACTTGTCTGTGGTATCTTCACCTCACGAACACACATAATTTAGTGCCTCAGATAGGCTGGAAAGAGGCATTGTTCCTTTGCTGCTCATTTTTTCCTTTTCTAGCCCGGGGTCTTCTGTTTTAACTTATATTTCTACAGGCCAAGCGAAAGGAAACCTGGTTGATTGAGAAACTAAGAAAATTTGATGTACCAAAACCCCCTCCAGAAACATCTGATCCTGAAATTCTAACCGAGGAGGAGAGGCATTACCTGAAGCGCACGGGTGAGAAAAAGAAACATTATGTTCCAGTTGGGAGACGAGGAGTGTTTGGTGGGGTAGTTCTTAATATGCATCTTCACTGGAAAAATCATGAAACAGTAAAGGTTATCTGCAAGCCTTGCAAACCAGGGCAAGTTCATGAATATGCTGAAGAGCTCGCTAGACTGAGCAAAGGCATTGTGATTGACATCAAGCCCAACAATATAATCATTTTTTACCGTGGAAAGAACTATGTGCAACCGGAAGTAATGTCACCTCCAAATACATTATCAAAAGCAAAGGTAATTCCTTTGCATTAGTTATTCATTGACCAAATGTATTTTGTAATAAATATATTATTGGTGTTTTCATTGAAATTATAGGCTAGAGACTCAGAATAATATGATATTTGTATTATGATGTGATACAAGACACTAATCCAATAGTCCTTATACTAATAATAGAGTCCTAATCCTAATCATACGAGAACAATAAATTCTCTTCAGTTAAAAGATAAAATTCCTGAGAATAGTACGAGGTTCCTAACAAGATAAGATGTTAGGTCCCTAGAAATAAGGTACACAATCATCCCTATTCCCTACAATAAAATAAATTATCCTAATCTGTTATGTAGATGCCATTTTGAAGGTAACTATCCCTTGTTTCTCCCTCCTATTGGACAATTAAAAGGGGAGAAATAATCTACAGAATTGTGTTGTCGAACATGAGTGCATGACAGTGTTATGTATATTTTGTAATATAAGAATGTTGAGATAATTCGAGGATCAAAACCATTCAAATTAAAGATAAAATTCAAGTTATTATTGCTATCATCTTTTCTTGATGAACTTAAACTAGGTTGATAGTAATGATTTGTAACTTTTATAGCTTTTTTTAATATAAATCAGCAGTTTCTCATAATGCTCATTTTATTAATTTTCATTGCATTTGACAAATATGGTAAGTTACATGTGAAAGTTTGCAGACTACTTTGGAATTATCAATTATGCCTTGAGATATTGAAGCTAAGAGGAATGTCGGGGTGCCCTGCTCTCTTACATGCCTCATGCACATAGTGAATTGAAGCTATAGTTTTTGTATTCGGTTGAGATATTGATCCTCTTTTATTTAGAAATGGAAGGAATGGACTGGATAAGTTAAAAACTGCACGTTTTCCATGATGAATATATTGTATTGAGAAAGCATTGGGTTGTATTCTTTTAGCATAAAGCATGTGGACTAATGGTTTCTATGTTATTGTGAAAATTTTCCAGGCCTTGGAGAAATATAGGTATGAGCAGTCCCTTGAGCATACTAGTCAGTTCATTGAAAAGTTGGAGAAAGAGCTTGAAGATTATCATCAGCACCTTGCAAAGTTTAAAAAAGTGAAAGAGGATACTACTAAAGATGTTAGTTTTGGTATATTAATCTTCGAGTGTTTTTGTTTATATGATGCTTGATTAAGCAACAAAAATGTCACAAGTAAATTCATTTTCTTGCCTTTCTGTCCTTTGGAATATATGATAACATTTATAATAACTTGTGATTCAAGTGATGTTTTGAAAGAGCGGAAAAGAACATCCGCTAGGGCTTATATAACAGTTTGCTTGCAATAGGAAAGTATAATTTAAAAGCAAAATGATGAGAATAAATGGAAAATGACTAAGCAATACGTGTTTAAAACACCATATTGCTCCAACGGCCCTTTTGATCAGACACATTGTAATGTTGTGGTTATTTTGTCAGGGAATGGAGAAGCGTGACTCTATCTTTGCTGGACCCAAAATGTCACATACATGAGGCTCAGACAACCTGATCTTGTTTGCTATTGAGGAAATGTAAGATATGACACCTTTATCCTATGATGCATAGATGCTATATGTGTATTGAATACAATACATGTGAGATATATGTCTAAATATGTATCAATATTCATAAAACATAGTAAGTATATAATTGTAATTTTGCAAATCCAAATTAAAAATATACTTCTTGTACATTACTAAAAAAATTATAAATCATTGTTATCATAATTTACTTCCTATTATTTACAAATAGGAATAATACTATCATTCTCATTCCATTTCATGAAATTATTTCTTCTATTCATGTAAGTATTGGATTTTAAAAATTTTAAAGGTTTGGATACTTCATCGATATGCATTAGTGAGGAGTATTGATGAAATATCCAACAATATCAATATCATTTTCATATATTTTTTTAAAGGCTTTGATACTTTATCTATTGGATTCATTAAACAAATTGAAGTATCGGTGTTTCATAACTTTTATTATTTTGAAGTGCATTAAGGCCAGCATAACTTCTGCATGAGATGTGAAGTCAATATATTAGGAGTGAAATCTTAATGTCACAAAAGGAAAAGGTTGCACAGTCCTTGTTATGTTTTGTATTTACATTTCACGTCACATGATAAGATTTCGTTTTAAATTAATGACTGTTGTCTGTTAGTTATCATTTATATCATCGGTTTATTTCCTCATTAGTTTGCTGCATCTCTGACCCACCACAACGAGTAATATTTGCTCATTTTCCCCTAATACATTATTGAATTCTGTGTTTGGTTAGTGGCTATCATAGTGGGGTCTCATTGTTAGATTTTTTGCTTTTCTCACCTGAACCTAATAGTTGATGTCTTTTTTTCCCCCTTTCTTTTTCACCATATCTTGTTCTCTAAAGAAAAGAGTAAAACCAACAGCAGCATTTGCTTTTGTTTGTGTTGAGATTTTTTATAGATTTCACATCATTATACATATATAGCTGTGCTTATCTGTTGCTTACTTTTGCTGCCTCATATCTGGTCTGAATTCTGAATTCTGAACAGATGAGTGCGAGTTTCTGCTCTACTACTGTAACAATATCACCAGTTACCCCATCTGGGATGGAATGTCAAGCATCACAGAGATTCTACTCCAAGGTTTTGCCTTTATTGGAGATGCCAATGATTGAAGCAGGGTTGCTCAAACCCATTCCCCGGATGCACCGTAACAAAGTTCAACACGACTTGCTCTGTAATATATTTCATAACAAGATTTTGCAAGTGTGGTTTCATTTAGGTTAGTACGGTGGATGTTACTATCAATATAAATATAATATTCCAATGGTCATTAGCTTTAATGATAAGGCTCCCCATACCAAATGTTTATGGCAAGCTATTTGTCTTTATGCAAGTACAGATCATAACAGTTTCTCAATGCACATTGTTAGGGTGACTTATCATAAGAGGGTCTTCCATGTCTCTTGCTCTTTTGTTGGTCCATTGAAAATAATTTAATCCAAGCTAGACCTACTAGGGTTCACACTCAACCCAAGATAATTAACAGCGAAGTTTTGTAATTATCCTTCATTCACGGAGTCTTATTGGTCCGGGGTCTTGCTGTTTTGACAATGACGTTGGTGTGTAGATGTGGATAATTCATCCCAAAGCTTTAGAGATCCACACGAAAAGGTCTCTCACCTTGTCTCCCCTTTACAGTGCCCGGCGGGTATTCAGACCAAGATTTCAGTTCCCAATTCCCATCTTATCTCAATCGCCTATTATTGATTCCTTTCTATCCTCATAGAATTATATTATTGGCGTGTTTGGTTTCACCTCCGCCACACTTAATTTACGTCAAAAACGTGAAAATAAGAAATAAAATTTCTTACTTCTGCGTTAACGTGATTTTTGAACGCGGATCCAGACACACTATATGTATATCTATTTTTCTTGATTACGTAGAATTTGCAGATAATGACAACAAGAATTATCTATAAATCTGAAAAGTTAGTTTGGTACTTAAATTATTAATTTTTCTTAATAGATATCTTTCATTAATTATGAAAGTTACATAAGTGAAAACTAAACAGGAGGTGGCAGATCTATATCATCAAAATATGGCGAAGGGGAAAGTGGATAAGCCAGGGTATTATACTCCACATAGATTATACTACCGTATCTAAAATTATCGATAGTTTTATAAATTTAGTTTCATTAATATTATATATATATATATATATATATATATATATAATTATGTTGGGTTTTGAACTCCTTGTTATGTTGAGAAAAGGTCCTAATGTGTAAGTCTATTGGCCTATGTAGTCTCACTTGTCCAAGTAAAAAGGGGTAAGATTAGGACAAGGGAGGTTCATTATTTTGAGCAAGAATTAGAGAGTATAGGAGGAATAAAGTTATCCTGCATATTTACTAAGAAGACATTGTTTAATCGCGATCAGATATTTGTTCACCATTTAATTCCATTAATTTTTGGACAACAAGTTAGGCAATTTAATTCTTGATTTTCAATGGTTGGATTGGTGAATGAAGGTTTGGGATGAGAGAGGAATTATTTGAAACAATTTTGATCGAGTGATTTTATCTATTTATTTCTCATTTGTAAGTTTTGATGTTTATATTGTTTTATTTGATTGGAAACGATATTTAGTGCATTTGTTGAAGACTCATTTGCATCCTTTTTGCTCATAGTAGAGTTATCTTTTTAATTTGAATGATTTGTAATTTTTACTTTATATTAAGGGATTTTTTACGTATAGAATTTGTCTATTGTGTTTTGTGTGACTTTTGTTTTTGCTCTATTTTGTTGGCATATACTACACATTCTTGTAAGCAGAGGGATTTTATTTTCATTGTTTATTGAGTTGCTATTATTGTGTTGGTTTTTCTCTAAAAAATTTAATAATCCCGCTTAACTCGTTTAACTATTTTGTTTAATTAAGAGATAAAATAAAAAAATATTATATAACCAATTTTTGTTTAGTTTGTATATTTTCTTTTAAATCATTTATCTTTCAAATTAACTTACGTGTTAGAAGCATATCTATATCAGAGATGCAGAATAAAAGATAAAATTAACAAATTCTCGACCCTTATCAAGGACTAAGTAAATTTATGAAAGAAGAAGACTATAATAGAGGCATAAAGATTCCTTAATAGGCATGTTATGTGGGTCCAAATCCAATAAAGTTAGCATGATAAGTAGAAGAGAGAATGTAAGTGATTAATATTTATTATAGTATTAATTGTCTAAAATTGTTTGAGATTAAAGATTAATTTAAGCATTTAAATGTTTTTGTATATACTTCTCTATTTCCCCTCAAGAAGAATACAATTCGGATAGGATGAAGATGATTAAAAAGGAAACTTGAATTAGGAAAGTTATAGAAATAGCCTTGTGTAAGTACAATGTCATTACTAAATAATCATATGAATTATTTTAGAAACAAAATTATAAGAACCAAAATCAACAAAATAATTTTTTAAGGCCTAAAATTAAAATTCTATCCCACGCAAGAACTTAGAACATATTTTTAAATTATAAGAATTAGGCTCTTAATTTTTTCAAAATTATATTTTATGAAAGCACTTTACATTACTTTAAATCGAAATTTGATTATCTTATACCAGTAAATAACATGACAATGACGTTATTATGTTAATGTTAAAAAAGACACAATTAAGATTAATTTTAAACTACAATCATTTTCTATTTTCAATGACACTTATCTATATGTTTGTCTATTTATCTATATAATTAACAATTTGTAATACAAAATTAATTACTATTATATTTTCTCTGAACTTATATATAAATAAAAAAATTATACAAATTAAAAATGTTAGATAAACACATTTAATTTTTATGATTTCATATAAAATACACATTACATTTTTTAAAATATTTTCAATCACATTTATTATAGATAATATTCTCATTTATTGTCTTAAAAATATATTTTTTAATTAAAAATATTAAATAAAACTGACATAATTAAAATTTGTTTCTATTTCGATGTAAAGACAGACTTTAACCACTTTTTACTTATATACATGTCTAGATATAATATTTTGATAATCTTATGAAACTTTTAATGGTCAGTCATGAATCATACTTAACCGAATGTCATAAGATCAATAATGATATTGTTAATTAATTATGAGACAAAATTAAGCATATGTTAGTAATGAATGTTGGATGCGAATCCAAACACTAGCTTCATCATTAGTGTTCCAAGTATTGGAATAAATGTGTAGAGACTAGTATAGTAAAAGATTTGGTACCTCTTTTACTTTGTGGATGAAAAGAAGAGTGAGTTACGCCGTTGAATCCGTTATCGATCTGGTAATAAAGACGTCCTTGTCAAACGGATTCACCTACCTATCCACACAATTTCAAATCAAAATTACGACCTTCTTTTTTTTTGCTTGACCCCTTAAAGGTCAAAGTTGAAATTAGAGGTAATTAACATGTTATTAGTGAACACACACCACCACCAGTGTGGTAGCTTTTCCGAAATGTTAATGTTACATTATTATTTCTTGTGTTGGAGCAAATAGTTGCTTGAATGGTGGGAATAGTAATCATACTTTATTTCTTTCTATGTTCCCTTTTTTACACTCTCCCTAGACAGGTTTGAAAAAGAAGCAAGCCAAAGGCAAACATACATACAGCATTTTATCTCAAGCTTTACCAATTGGGTCCATGTGATTTTTACTTTTCTATTTTGAATACTCAAGTTATTATTGAATGGTTTATGCGATGCTTAAGATGAAGTTGAAAATGCAATTGGTTTAGGTCCCTGAGTCCCTTGCATTGTGGGGAAGGTTAAGTCCCATAATGATTGACCGTGTGTGGAAGGGAAGGGTAGCCACTAAAAAGGTGGCGCAAAAGTTTCACGCTTGAGGCATAGTGGCCAAGTGTGAGAAACAATATTGGTACCCATACCCCCAATTTCCTAACTAACACCCCTACAGTCTCAACCGACCTATAGAAAAAGTGCCAAGTCTTGCCTGCTTTATTAGGTTATAGCCAATTCACACTATTGTAGTGGATGCCATCGCACAATAATAATAATGTACAACCACAAATGCCACTCCATTTTTTTAACCATTCCAACCACAACTTCTATTAACTTTTATTTAAGTTCAACTAGATAAACCTTTTTGGAACTTATATATTTTTTTTTTTTACATTCACAAGTCTCAATCTCAAATCGAGTGTTTGTTGTTTTTAAAAAATAAAACTTTATATATTTGGTACGTGTTAATGTTGTAGTGTATGATGAAGAAGGGGTATCTGGTGATTTAATAAGAAGAATGTTTATTACGATAAAAGCCGTTGATTTTGTCAGAGACTGAAAATGACGGTTGATTTGTAAGATTGTGCATTAGCCGCAAAACTGAAGTGGCCACTGGGCATGCTCGTGCAACGCATGAGAAATCACACTTGCTGTCTTCTTCATTATTGTCATTTAATAACCATAACTCCTTTTAAATAATTTTTTATTTCAAACAAAAACTATTGCCATTTAATACAATTTCTTTATTTAATTTTAAATAACCATAACTGTAGTGCTTTCGTCCTTCCTTCCGTAAAACACTATTTATCTATTTATTTTATTATATTATTATTATTACTATTATTATCATGTAAGTAGTCCCACACCAAACAACGCCCATTTCCTTTCCCTAATTCTTTTTTTTTATTATTATTATTATTACATACACATGCCTGCCATTATTTTGTTTCTTCAGTCTTCCCAAACAAAATGAGAGAACATAATCCTTCATTTTTTTAAATTGGGCCTTCATCGCAGAGGATGAAATTTATCGAGAGATATAAGGTGTAATGTTTGTAATAATTTTTCTTTGGCTTTATTGACTTAATAGTATAAATTATAGGGTTATAATTATCATTTTGGAAATAAAATAAACTTCAAGTATGACTTTGTTGACGTAAGGAACGTATTACATGGCAACATATCCCCGAAATATTAGGAGATCACATACGTATATAATAAACACCTGCCCAGTTTCATCTATGCATTGTGTATTAAGGAAGACTAGTTTCCTTTTGCACGCTTTCCTAAACAAGGAAACTCTTCAACCTCAAAACATATCCATGTTATTTTCCTATTATTACTTTCATCCACATATCAATATTCATATATTTTCTTAATTATTTTTTTCAGTCCTTTTATTTTTTGGAAGCTTATGATATATTATACTATGAAATAATTTTTAAAGTTTGGAAATAAGAATTTTAGGGAAAAAAAAACTTCATAAATTTGAAAGTACATAAAAAATAATAAGAGATCAGATTTACTTAAATTTGAAAACAGAAAAAATAAATAGCTTAAAACATATTTACTTAATGTATATTTTAGTAAAAATTTAAAATTGATTCAATATATGGAGCACTTGTTATCACTGTAATTATGGAACTAAAAGAAAATTTTGGCCTTGATTTGTCGCGTGAATTCAGATATCCTTACAGCCGAAAAAACTCTCCAACATAACTACTTTTCAACCATAACTTTTTTCACAACAAACAAAAAATAGTGATAAACATTTCAAATTATTTTCAAACTTTCTTTCTTAATCAATCATTTGAGCAATCGTACTAAACAGAAATCCATTTGAACAACTTGTTTTTTTCCTCAAACTTTCCCAAGCATCACAATTTACAGTTAGTACCATGAATGAACCTCTTTAAATGCTAAACATGCCGGTGAAATCATTCCTACCTCAAATAGTACCTTTCTTCTCATTCAATTAACAATTCAGTGCATCCAAAGAGGGATAGACGAAAAAGTAACATTATTTTCCACAATATTTATTTATCTATAAAATTTAAATGTGATAGAATGAAATATGACTATTACTTTCATGCATGTTTTGATAGCCCTTATGAGTTGGACTAATTGAATGTATCCACCTGTCCACCGATCTGTCATATCAATTATAGAAGGTAATTTTGTAACTATTATTCTCAACTATTAAGGATTTATGTGCAAATTGTATATATAAGCAGGGATCCACTTATTTTAAAAGTAAGTTTACTTTTACTTACTTCTTTAAATAATTTATGTTTTACATCAAATTTTAACGATTTAATTGTTGAATTAAAAGTTTTTAATATATAAATCATGTTTGAATTTTTTTTTAAATTTGAAAATTATTTAACACTCCATTTTATGAATCAAATTAATGTATAAAATATTTTTATAATTATTCGTCAATATAAATTAATGAAACTAAGTATTAAACAGTTTTCAATTTTTTAAAAAAAATTACAGATTTAATTTATGCATTAAGAACTTTTAATTCAACAGTTGAATTGTTGAAACATGATGTAAAACATGAATTATTGAGTAGGACAAGTTTACTTGATCTACTCTTAGAGTAAATAGATCTCTTATATATATATATATATATATATATATATATAT